CATGACCTCAAACCTTCTTGGTTCTAGACTTCCCCCCTTTTATTAAATTTTTTTTCCAGTTTTTTTTAGGACCACTTCTACCGACCTCTTTCCTAAATTAAATAAGGCCCCCCCACTCAAAAAAACCCCCCGTCTGAAATGGGCTTGAAATAATTAAACCCCCCCCCCCGCCCCCGGGGGACTTAATAAAGGACTTACGGTATATTTTCACAAAGCTAAAACGTGTCTTTGCATCGATCAATTAAATTCCGAAAATAGTGGCTCAGTTTTGTTTTTAAGACTATGTTTTGTCTGTCTCTACGGACGAATGGGCAAAGATGGATATGAATTGACGCTTGAAACAATTGGGCCAATATCTTCAAGTTTTAAAGCTATGCCTGCATCGGAGCCCGCTAAAATCACCAAAAATGTTATTATGGTTAATGGTGCTCCCTGATAAAATTTGTTTTATATCTTCTTCATAACTCTAATGGAGTTTTTTTGTGTTGGGGTTTAATTTAGGCAGTTTAGCTCAGAATTAACACAAAACTGCAAAATATCCTGGTGACTGCTCCTTAAGGGTAGACACTTCAAGATTAAATTCATGAACTTGCCTTCTTAACAGCATCGTTTTCTTTTTTCAGCTGATTAGTTGTCATCGCTATCAAATGTACGAGTTTCTCGTTTACAAACTCGTATACAATTTTAAACGTCCGGCGGAACAGTTCTGGAAAATAAACCAGTGAGCCGTAGCGGAAGTTGATTGAGTACACAACAATTCATACTAGTTTGAAAAACGTCCAGAAACGTGACTTGTCAATCAGCTCAATGTTTTCTTTTGCCTCCATGTGGTCTGTTCTAGGCGTTCAGAAGGTACGATTAGGGCAAAACGAGGAGACTATGAGAAAGTTAAGGAAAGAGTTTTCAATCTGTCTTTAGCCCTACCTCTCTCTATCTGCACGCCTTAGGTAGCTAACGTTTATTTTGTTCAGTTTAAGCTCAAAACTCAGAATCATATGTGCATAGCCTGTGGGAAATCCATTAGGGGGCGACGTGACCACGCATTGGTTATTAAATGATCACTGAATTTTCCAGAGTCTGATCAAAACCTCATCACATCACAAGAGAGCACAGAATAGAGGTAAATAAACTTTATTTCTCTGGTCCGGCTTACGATGTATCCAAAAATTTTGGGATCAAGTAAAACAGATGTAAAATTTAGTATTTAAAATTTAGTATTTTTAGTAAACGCCTAAAATAACCGACTCTTGGCGGTAGCGGACAAGTTGATTGAGTAAAAAACAAAGAATGGTTATTTTTGAAAATACTCCCAGAAACGTGACTTGTAAATCAGCTCATTCCTTTCTTCTCCGTCCATGTGGCTTGTTCCAGGCGCTCAGAAGTAGATATGGACGGTAAAAATAGGAACAAACGTGGAAAATATGGAAGAAAATGGAGAGCCGCTGCTCTCTATATGAACGCCTTAGTTAGCTGACATTCATTCTGCAATTAAGCTGAAAGCTTAGAATCGTATTAGTAAAGTTGACGATAAGGTGCTTAGCCTGCGGGCAACCTATTTGGTGAGAGGGGGCGTGACATAGCATTGATTATTAAATAATCACTAATTTAAAACTGTTTCCAGAATCCGCGAAGGCACAGTTGAACTGAGGTGTAAGATTGGGGTAACCAAGGAACAAGGGCCGGAGTCAAAACTTTCTCCGCGATGTCTGGGACTATAGCTACCACCTGTGCTTTTGAAATGGAAAAACTTTACATCGGCTCTGGTAAAAAAACAAAGGAGAGACGATCAGGTAGGAATGTCATGTTTCTGATCTTATTCTTTTCATAGGCTTTGTTTGCGAGTGTGAGAAAAGTTTTATGACTACCTTGTACAGCTTACCACAAAAACTTCTGGCCTCGAATAGGATTTGACAGACAGAGTCATAATTAGTTATAATCACCTTATACGGAATAGTAAACAGAACAAGAAAAAAATACTGCCGATTGGTTATATTTCATTATAATGGTTACACATTTCACGAAACTTTATCTGCAAACTACAGACTCAAAATCGATTTTGCAAGTAGCGAAGCACCGGCGTGATTTTTCTCACCTCTACTCCAGACCATCCACTGACCGCTTGCGCGCCTGTTCTTACCCTAAACAAATATACGGGTTGTTTTGCAGTCTACTGCATTGTAGGCTCAATAAACAACACCACAGGAACGTACTGACCTAGGGACTAAAAAATTAGAATTGTATATTTTTCTAGCTCAAGTATTTTAAGGCATGGCTTTTCCTTTGATCCTACACCCTATATTTGTTCTGATAAATGTGATGAAATTTTAAGTTCTGACTTCCTCCAACGATATCATGCGTAGAAGAAATAATTTGACGCCTTTAATTTCCCCGCGGGTTTACTTTGATCACGTACCTGATGGTGCCTTAATTAATGCGGAATGTAAATTAAAGTGTACCCAAGGATGATTTATGTTCAGATGTTGATATTATACCCATCATTTGCTCATCCCGGCGGCCCACTTAAGAAAAATCATGATCAGGTCATGCGTTCGAACATATTTGCAAATTTGTGCAAATTATGCTGTGTGTCATGTTTTTAACATGCTTGAGAGCATGCGATGCAGGCCCCGGTTGTTACTGCAAAGCGCGAAAACAGACGAAGTCGAGCGTGAAGCTCGAGAGACGAGTGCGAATCGCGAGATGACGGAAAGGGTCAAGTTTAAGGCAAACGGCAAACGCAAACGTGAATTTCTACCACGTGACCAATTTTCTCTTAACTTGTGCTTTACTGCTCATTACTTCTACCCCCAAATAAGTAGCTTCACGTTAGTTTTGTCTGTAACAATTGTTTTGGACTGTTTTTAGCTGTACTTTTTGTGTTTTGAGAAATTCTCAACTTGAATCTGACGTTTGCCGTAAACGTCACTCTAAATCTGTGAAATCTCTCTCTTACTCTCGCCAATAAATGACGTATGTTATGTGTGCTACAATTTTTCGTAATAAGACTTTAACGGTGTTTTGGCAATGTTTGGTAACGGTGTTTTGGTCGCACTTTCTGGAAAGAGATTTGGTAGAAAACGTCTGCGCGTAGATTATCGCCAAAAAAAACTGGAAGTTCTTTCATCCACGTTTGACTGTATCCACACGAACTCCACCATTCTCATCTTGGTTATAATTTCTTAATGGTTCACGCTTTTTATGTGACGACGTTCTTTCTTTCTTATTTTTTTACAATCTAATTTATACAAATATAGATCGTAAATCAAACGTCGCTCTCAGAGAACCCTGGTAAAGAGGTGGTTGACATCTCTCTCTTCCCATTGTGATGTCATATTTGTAAGGGTTCGCGCGCCTGGGTTTGTTAAGACTGCTACCAATGTTAAACATCTTAATATTTCGCTCTGCTTTACCTCATGAGAAGAGAAGATAAACCAAGCGCAATGAAGGTACTTGTAAAAAGTGTATTGCAAAGTGTCCCTTGTGGCCACTGCCGCTGACAAGTAACCAGACAGCGGAGAGAAGCAACAACCAAATTCAGTGCGTCTGTTTTCGTAGGCTGCCTTGGACATAGATCTCAGTAAGGACACTTAGAATGAAAAAACGCGGAGGATAAGGTTTATACTTCTTGGTTAATTCTTTATCTTTCTTCTTTAGTCAAGATGCCTATCATAATGGCAGGAGAAAACCAAGAAGTTCCTTTATCCGACATATATATGGCCAAAATGAGAATAGAAAAGGATTTTAAGGCTACACCTTGTACGGCAAGTATTTTTACTTTTTACCATTATTCTTCCTTGTTTTTACTTAGCTTTGTACAGCCACGTCCTGTAAGGGCGTATCAATGGGAGTTGTCAAGATCCCCCGGGTTACCATAAAATCCCCTCATTAATTAAGGTCGAATATCTGTATAAGAACCTTCTCTGTAGTTACTTCGCCATAAAAACTGTAACTGTCTGCTTTTTTTTTCAAACAGAAAACCTCCTTTGGTAATGATTTTGGACTTGAAGTTGCCTTAAAAGAGGAAAACCTCTCACCAACTGGAAGGTATTTTGCTCGGTTCCTGACTTCACTTCATGCTGTAACTAATCTACACCGAGGCATCGTCTCACCGTTTATCACATCTTCTCTCTCTTTCTATTCTCAGTTACTACGACAGAGCAGTGCTAAATTCTCTCTTGGTTTTACCAGAGGTAGGATGCCTATATCCTTTCTCATACTATAAATTTACGATTTTTTGAGTTCATTCAGCTGGACAGGTATATTTTGCTTGTTGAATTTTCCTTTCATGGATAGCGCAACACGTTTTAAAGAGAGTGGGCTTCAATCCTCTTCTCCCCTACCCTTCCCTCCCCTCCCCTCCCCTCCCCTCCCCTCTCCTCTCCTCTAAAAAAACGTTAACTTTGTTCGGTAGAAAGAAAATTAAAAGCAATTCTTGCAGAAAGCAAGGCTGCTTAAGCCCCCCACCCTCCCCCCACACTTCGGTCTCCCCCTCCCTGTGCATAATTTGTAAGTTAGACTGCGAGCAGTTCCGCCTTTTTTCTTCAGATGTAGTAATGCAAGAAACGAGGGTGTCTTTTAATTTTATCACTCCCGTGGTCATTTTTGTGTCTCGCCCGTTTTTCTCGACGGACTAAGAAGAAAGAGAGATTGCTTGTAGTCTACAGAAAGTTGAATGTTTTTACTAGTGATTTGAAACTATGAGGAATTACTTTTTGTGAGAATAAACTGTATATAAAGAATACCGATTGTAATGAAAGGTACATTTTCGGCTGATAGGATCAACAAAGACGAGGTGTTATTACAGCTACAGAATGCAGACCCTTTATCCGAGCGTTGTTCCATTATGGACCAAAGCTCGGGGTACCTGTGACCATTGTGGTTCCAAACGGAAGTAAAATTCAAACTCAGATGTGCAGTCAGCCAGGAAGAGTTATCGTGAGTTGTGGCGCTGATATAAATGAGGTGAATAAATGTTTTTACTTGCCAATAAACTGACAAGAAATCAGCAATCTTTCCCTCTGTCCTCGATTCAGAGAGGTCGCTAAGCATTGAAGCGGTTTTATTGTTTTGTTTCGACAGCTCCTCTCGCACGAAAGAGACTCATCTGACTTATGCGACTGATGCGTAGGCTTTTATAGATTATGTTCGCAAAAGTAGCATAATTATGCTACGAGCAGTACTCGTATATTTCTAAAATTATGCCAATAATTATGCTAGTCTTTGTAAATTATGCTCATTTTTTCCCCTCGTCTCCCAAACAAAAGGGAAGAAGGACCTCCTGATAGCAGGTTAAATCGGGCCAAACAAAAACGTTGCACGATAAATAAATGACAATTTTAAGCTGCAAAACTAGCCAAAAGTGCAAATTATACTGGTAGTGCTTTTTTCGAAAAAAAGGTGACAATTATGCTTATGACGACGAGTTATGCCAAAAATTATGCTAGCATAATCTATCAAAGCCTACTGACTTATGCGAGGTGCATCCCTACCTGATACCAAACCCATGGAAGACACCAGCGGCAGTCACTACCAGAGATTGTTAAGTCTCCAATAGTGTTTTTCTTCTTTCAATGGAGACTTTACTCTAATATTTCTCTAACATTTCTCTAGTATCCATTTCTATTTTTCGTTTTTCCTCTGTGACCCAGATATAGTGGTTGCAAATAAAAGGAATCTATTGAAAATGTCAACATGTTCGGTATGGAATGAATTTTTTCTCTTAGTTCTGTTCTTATGTATGCCATTACGAATTCCAAAATAGTGTCAGTTTTCAACGTGTATTGGTGAATGCGCGGGGATTTTTTAATCTGAGAATCATCTTCTATGGTCAACTCTCTTCAATTTTCTGTCTTTTTTCCATCTCAGGCAAAAAAGAACGCCAAAGAACTTGCCAAGGGAGTTAGACTGGAATATATAGAGAGGTAATGATTAGCTTGTAATTTAATGAAATTAATTTTCAGTGAAAGTGTTGTCTGAACAAACCTTTGCTATTAAAATACTCTTATTGCTGCCTTTTTGAAAGAAGGAGAAATCTAACTTTCAGAAAGCTCAGAAAAAAAAACACGGAAAAAACGGGGCTCAAGGTGAGAATCGAAACTGAATTTGTTTTGTCAATCTCGAGAACTCATTTTCCTGAGAAAACCTTTAAAATCTCCGGAAAAACAAAAATCACACGATCCCTGGGATTGAAGAAAGTTCTTCCATCCCACTATACTATCAATTTCAAGCATGATAAGCGCGAATAATCCATTCTATTTGCAATGCTTCATTATAAATGTTTATCAGCAGGAGACAAAATTGGGTAATGGCTCCGGAGACCCCTTTATATGTAACTTCAAATGAGCGCTACCGGCAAAGTCACCACCTCTCTCGCATCTCCTTCCGCGCACAGCTCTCGCAGTCGGGCATGACTTCATGATATCCCCAATTGGAAAGCTTTTTTAAAGGCTGCTTTCTGAGCAAAAGACACCGAGTAACTCTTCATGAAAAAAAAAACAAACTAACGGCACTTAGCTAGCCTGGCCTTGGGCCCGGGGTGGAGGGGCTTTGGGACATTGATTTTGACGGGCCACGGTTCAATCTGACATCACTGACGTGCTTTACACTACACATGAGCCAAATTCTTAAACTCGTTTCTTGCTACGGTTCTTTTACAGAGACCACAGCTCCTCCATGTTAGCAGGCTTATGTACCATGGGTTTTGAGATTTTAGAACAATATGGATCCAACGTTCAAGCTATCCTTGTCCCTGGAAGTGAGAAAAACCTTCTGAAAGCGTTAAAATGTTCTATAAAAAGCATATCTCCCCATGTGCAAATCATAGTAAGTCTGACTCTGCTTTTTTTTGTTTTCCTTGGGAGATTCTCAGATAAAAATGACGGGGATGCACGTCGTCTTCCTTTGGGGTGTTAATCGCAGTTTTGGTCTTATTTAGGGTATTCAGGACCGTGTGTGTTAATAACCTGAACACGAACCATGCCTGAGCCCAACAGAACACGTCAAATGAATCAAACAGAACAAAATAAATAAAGCAAGCAGAAAGACAGTTTACAGTAAGGATCTCAAAAGAGTGACCGTTTTTGATTTATTCACATTCTTCCATGCAGATTTAATCCAATCAGAAGCCAGCTAGAAAATGTCCTCGACTTCTGATTGGTTAATGTCTGCATGAAAGAATGCGAGTTAATTAAAGAAGGTCACACCTTTTTGGGCTCCTTGCTGTAATATTTACAGAAAAGAGAGTACAGCATTTCTGTTTGCTTGTTTCACCTTTTATTGCTAGGCTTTCCGTAGTGTTCTGGGGTGTTTAAATCGTCCTAATTTTCATACATGTGCGTCAAGTCATATCCGTAAAAATAATGATAATGATAATTCCCCATGTTAGAAAAGAGTGCCGGAAACTGGGGCGAGTTAACTTTCGCAAAGGCTTCTGGAACTGTTACTATTTCGGTACCAGTTCCCTTCTCGTTTCTAAAGTGGCGAATGGTCAGCCTCGTTCCCAGTCGTCCTCGGCGATTTCGGATGTGACGTCACCTGTCAAGGTTGTCGGGAAAATTCGCCGAGGAAAATTCGCGCTCGGTTCCAAGCCTCTTCTAGTGACTCGGATAGCGCGAACTGGCCTGAGTGCGAGGCTGATGAATGATAACAAGAGCGAACGCCGTCATACTGTGTTGAAATATGTTTGTAAAGTAAAACCTGAACCACGCCTAGATTGGTCTCCTTTAAAATTAAGGACTCGAATTTATATGGGAGCCCCTCGGCCCCCGGTTGTTATAGTTAAAAACGCTCCGGCTCAACATCATCTCCCTCGTACATTCATAGATATTTTATATTACCAGGGAGTCCACATGCAGGACAAAGAGCATACAGAGAGTACGGGTAAGATGTGTATTGCTTCTTTTTATTCATAGTTACCATATTAAACCTTAAGCACATAAACACCTCAACTACCCATAAAAGGGCTAAGCCACGGTATTTAGCAAAATTAAAACGGTAAAAACTTCCACCCAATTCATGAAATCATAAAAATAAACGCTCAAGACATTAAAAGAAGGAATAAATAACAAGGCGAATTCAAAAGAAGGTACAGATGCACATATTTGAAGATTATATATTAAAACGGATTGAAGTTGAAAACTTTAGTAACAGTTTTTCAAGGTTCACTTTCGTTGTTTTTTAACGTTTAAGGCATATTTGGCAGAAGCTGTAATTTTGTCATTTACAGGTAAATTTCGTTGCTAGCATGAAGTTCCATAGCACATAAAGGACACGTATTGGCAAAATGAACAAGACAGCCGTGACACAGTCCCTTTAACCATGCCCCTGAATTTTTTGTGGTTTTACAAATTTCGTTGTTGTGCTCTATCCTGTACATATCTCACTATTTCGTATATTTGCTTCTTTTCTAAAAAAACTTTATTTTATGGCCTTAGATTCCAATTTCCTGGATATGATAAACGAATCAGATAGCGTGCTCCAGGTCAGGTAAGTTTTAAAAGCATTTAGAACATGAAATTGCTTCTTCTTGCTAAAAACAATGGTTGCCTGGATTATTTCTGGCCTTGAGGGCAGTAACACATGTTATTTCCTTGGGGCTTTGTTTGAGTTTTCTGAATTTCGGCTGGTCGACTCAAGGTGGATATTTCCACTGTAACGAAATTTTTACGTGCGTACGAGCGTAAATGAAATGTATGAAAGGTTGCGCGTAAACGTGAACCTCGCTCAAGTCATAGTTATTAGAGGAGACTGGTTATGAAAAGCGGCAAACATCAATGATAAAAACAACAGTGCTGCAGTTTATGTTGGAAGCACCCTGAAAGTGCACAATCCTTTGTTTTCTGTTGGCAAATTGTTNATTTCGTTGTTGTGCTCTATCCTGTACATATCTCACTATTTCGTATATTTGCTTCTTTTCTAAAAAAACTTTATTTTATGGCCTTAGATTCCAATTTCCTGGATATGATAAACGAATCAGATAGCGTGCTCCAGGTCAGGTAAGTTTTAAAAGCATTTAGAACATGAAATTGCTTCTTCTTGCTAAAAACAATGGTTGCCTGGATTATTTCTGGCCTTGAGGGCAGTAACACATGTTATTTCCTTGGGGCTTTGTTTGAGTTTTCTGAATTTCGGCTGGTCGACTCAAGGTGGATATTTCCACTGTAACGAAATTTTTACGTGCGTACGAGCGTAAATGAAATGTATGAAAGGTTGCGCGTAAACGTGAACCTCGCTCAAGTCATAGTTATTAGAGGAGACTGGTTATGAAAAGCGGCAAACATCAATGATAAAAACAACAGTGCTGCAGTTTATGTTGGAAGCACCCTGAAAGTGCACAATCCTTTGTTTTCTGTTGGCAAATTGTTACGGAACAAATTAATGCACTGTTTTTATGGGTCAATACAATCAAAATGATAGGAATTCTTTTGAATGTTGTGCACTTTCAGGTCCACAAAAACATATAACAAAGGAGTCTGACGGGTTTCATAACCATTCCACTCAATTAACTATGCTCAAGTTAACTTTTTCTGTTTTTTCCGTCCTATCATTCCCCGTTCGCGCTATGCTAAAAAGGTCTATTTAAGCTTTTCTCGTTTTCATCTCTAGCAATGAGGATGTTTCAAAAGCCGTTGGACGAGTCGTGGAAGAGAAAGGTTTTCTCACACTGTTAAGTGAAGAAGGAGTGATGGCGTTAGCTGCATTACTGTCTTCACCTCTCACTCAGTTAGAAAGGCATGTATAAACCCACAGTCACCGTGATAATTACTTGTACTTTTACCATGTATATCCCAGGTGTCCAGATTGCGGAGACGGCTGAAACTGGCTAACTAATTTTTTTGTAACACGATAGGCTCGTCACCAAAACAAATCTCGCTATCCGAGCGAGCGAATGGATGGAAGGCTAGGGATTGCTTACCGGGTGACGTCACGTCCTAACTCACTAAGGACGAGTGTTCGTCTTTAAATATCTCCCTAACCCCACAACTCACTGCTTTTTCCTTTCCACTTTTCTTTGTACTGTTCCCATTATCTGATCAGCACTGAAGCCCCGTCCAGACGTATCCGTTGTTGTTTTTTTGAATCGTTTTCACCAGAAGCCCAAATTGGAGGAGAAAATCTCCGTTTTAAACAAAAACGGATACGTGTAGACGAGGCCTGAATATCGTTACTCAGCCAAGCAGGATGCAGAATGCTGGTAAAACTGTTTGTTCATGGGTGCCTCAAAGATTTTTAAGATCCTTGAAGCTGTTGTCCAATTTCAGCCTAACAAGGGATGCTGTCTGTGTGCTCAAAATAAATACGTGTGAATTTTTTCATTGAGAAAGTCTTTTTTAATTTTCCATAGGGTGGTGGTGGTGTGTTCAGAGTGCCTTGTACCCAGTCTACTTCAAATAGAACAGGTCTTGAAGGCAGGCCTGGTTGCTTAACTGATGTCCAGATGACAACTGACAATGATGATCAATAACAATGCACTGTAGGAACTGGAGGATGCGGTGGAGGGGTAGGGGGTTATCAGTGATACAAGTACTAAAATGTAAGGCCGGTTTTTGAGAGCTTTAAAACTTGAAATTTGCACTTCATTTTGTCTTGAACATTTTTTGACAAATTTTGAGGGGTACAGTGTACATCTACAAGGTCTTGGCATACAGCAGAAGCATACCCGACACCCAAGTAGAAATTATGTGAGAAATAGCAAAAATAAAAATTTCTTATGTTTAGCTGGCTTAATCTTGGCTGATTTTCATGAAATCAAATTTGTATAAAATATACAGTCACATTTGCACATGTACAATTGTGCACGTAGTGTAAGCAGACGTGCAAACTTTGTTAAGTTATCAAGAAAAGTTGATATTTATTGCGGATAAAAGAAGTAACAAGTTGGAGTTACTCTGCAGATTTAGTCTGGTAACAAACTTACTCATGAAGTGAAGAGCCATCAAGAAAAAGAGGTTTTTCAAGGTTACATTAGTAATTTTCTAATTGGATTATATCCAAAAATGGACATTTCCTTGTGTAAAAAAATATAATTTTAATGTAATAATACCATTAATTATTCTTAGCTATGTCCAAGACAAATTTTGATAATTTGTAACTTGTAAAAAAATCAATCTTAACTCAATACCTGTTAGTTTAAAAAGTGTACAAAATACATATTATATTTGTGTCATTTGTTTCCACATGTTCATAATAAAGCTTATATCAAACAAAACTATTTTGAGTTTTCATTTGTAAATTCTACACGATTTTTTTGTACAAAATATATTTTGAATTGTATTAACCTTGGTTGTGATTATAAAATCTTTAGTTTTCTCATTAAGGTATGTTTTTGTAAAGCTCAAACATTTGCTCAAAGTTCCCATGCATACAACACCTTTTTGGACTGTTCTCTACTTGTTTAATATGAATAGAGACCTTTAGATTTGAGGACTTAAGGATGACTGCGATCAGGAAGAGATTAATTGACTTACGGTCTTTTTACATATAATAATTATATGTAAAAAGACCGTAAAAAAAAAATTTTAGTTTTCCAAGGTGTCTAGTTTTTTTATAATTATTATAAAAAAACTAGACACCTTGGAAAACTAAAAATTTTTTCTACCACAAAAGTTAACACGGTTACTTTTATTGCAGAAGATTAAGCCATCTCCTAATCGCAAAATGATAAAACCTCTAACATTTATTAACTTGTTTCCGTCACTACGAAAACAAAGAAAGCTCGTAAAAAAAAGTTGTATTAGAAGGATGATGGCTACCACGTTTTCCTGCCAAAATGACTCTGTTTCAAGCATGCACACTTAACAGGTATAGAGAAAATCCAATTCTTATAGCCATACTTGTCTTACAAATATTTTATAAAAAGGTCTCTAATAAGCCAAAACCCAGAAAGTCCTCATTAAAGGTCCTTATAAATGCTGTAGACCTCATAATTATCAGCAATGGCCATGTTGATATGATTCTTAATAAATTCATAAAGGCTCATTGGAGATGTTCGCTGGTTCCAAAACTGAATTACCCGTCCAGCTCTGCTGACAAGATACTTGCCAAAGTTCCACGGAGGCGCTACTCTCGCACTGCTATAAAGATACCTGTACAAAGGATGGGCCTCTTTACCAGTTACTTTAATCTTTGCCAAGACAGGAAAATTCACATTGTACTTGTTTTTAACAAATCGGGCAATGCCACTGTTTCTCAAAGGCTCCTGATTTCCAAACTGGTTACAAGGAAATGCCACAACACTGAAGTCTTGATCATAAAGTTTTGATTGGAGTTCCACAAGCTCCTTGTAATGCTGGTCTGTGTAGCCNAAAAGGTCTCTAATAAGCCAAAACCCAGAAAGTCCTCATTAAAGGTCCTTATAAATGCTGTAGACCTCATAATTATCAGCAATGGCCATGTTGATATGATTCTTAATAAATTCATAAAGGCTCATTGGAGATGTTCGCTGGTTCCAAAACTGAATTACCCGTCCAGCTCTGCTGACAAGATACTTGCCAAAGTTCCACGGAGGCGCTACTCTCGCACTGCTATAAAGATACCTGTACAAAGGATGGGCCTCTTTACCAGTTACTTTAATCTTTGCCAAGACAGGAAAATTCACATTGTACTTGTTTTTAACAAATCGGGCAATGCCACTGTTTCTCAAAGGCTCCTGATTTCCAAACTGGTTACAAGGAAATGCCACAACACTGAAGTCTTGATCATAAAGTTTTGATTGGAGTTCCACAAGCTCCTTGTAATGCTGGTCTGTGTAGCCACACTCACTTGCAACATTCACAATCAACAGGACCTGACAGTATGAAATAACAAGAATGTAAACTTTCTGGATGACAGGCAACAGTTTTTGGGACAATATTTTTTCATATAAAGGAGAGGGAGGCAACCTTGTTATTTTTTGGAGTGGAAAACGCTCTCATAGATTTTTTTCAAATCTTGCCAATATCGAGACAACAGTCCGATCTAAACTATTAGCACACTACAGGGTTTTAAAAGATTACTGCTAGAATTTGAGAAAATTCCCACTTAGTAGATTTCATGTAATTGTTATTCTGTTGCTATGAAAGTGGCAATGTCAACGAAACATACTCTAAAATCAAGTTCAATATTAGAAATGTTGTTTCACTGTGGCTTTTCCGTATGTGCACTACTATCAAAGTTACGGAGAATCAAACACAAAGAGGTGACCTTGAAAAATGGGTGGAAAATTACAATATTGCTTCTCATCATGGGCTGATAATATTCATTACATCTTTTATTGCCTTGGACTTACAACCAAATGCATGATGCATTATTCAAGTTGACCTGCTACCATCCCCCACCCCTTCAGCCAACCCTCGGGACAAGTCCAGCCTCCTTTGGCCTAGGGGGTATTGTTTGAGGTGGTCTGGTGAGGACCCTGGGGGTAGGGAATAGACTGCCAAGTAAGAAAAAAAATTGCAAATCTTGGGGGGTATGTCTGGGGGGTGGGGGGCGGGGAGGGGTGTTGAACCATGAATTATTCATGATGAACACAGTCAACCTTTGTTTACCGGATTTTTTTTCATATTTTACCAAGATATGGCCATTATAAAAGTTTATTATTTCAAACTGAAAACCCAGCAGCGCGATGCCATCAGGATTTAATCAAAGTTAGCCGCTAGGAGGAAAAACCGAGTACATAGTTTTGATTACAACGTGGCAGCAGTGAAATGTGAGGCATTGGCGCTAAGAGCAGACTCGCGGGCGACTCGTCGTACATGTTTTAGAATGTGTAATGATATGCAATTCCATCCCTGTTCACAGTTCGATTATATGGTACATGTTAAGGTAAGAAAACTGCCTTTGGTTTCATTTTTTTGTTACATTGCCCTTTGTTTAAAAATATTTGTTGAAATGCACAATAAGCTTATTCATCTGTCACGCAACGCAATGAATGAAGTCACGAACAAGAAAAAGAAGCAAACCTTTCCTTTGAAGACACTCATTGGAACGACATTTCCTTCTAGATCCTTGACAGTTATAGAGTGAAAATCGGTGCATTCAATTACACTTCCTCCCAAACAAAATATCAAAATCATTCTCAAATGCCACAGCGCCATTTTTGAATGAACAATCTGAATGATTTGTGTGAAAGGAGACTGATAACGAGTAAGTCGTTGTCATGACAATGTCTGAGCGATCAGCTGTTTGTGAATGTCAAGGTGATAGCCAATCACAGCTCTTGTTATTACAGTTGACCAATCAAAGGCAAGTACGGGGAAAACAGCGCGTCCTTTCAATCTGCACGATCCGCACGCGTCTGGGAAAAAGCGAGAATCGCAGGAGATAGCTATTTATGAGGCAATTTTAATTCATGTTTTTGAGAGAAAATGTCACATTTCAGCTTTGAAACTGAAGTGAATAATCTCCTGAGACTCGATGCCCCTATGAGTCGAGGACCAGCACCCCGATGGCAGAAAAAATCAACTGAGCGTCGGCGTTCTAGTTCAGCTCCATCCACGCCGCTTCGCAACTCCTTCAGGCTAAATTCAAGCAAGACTCCATCGAAGACGCCGAAATCATTGAAGAAGACGCCAGGAAAAGCCAAGACCCCATCTGAAGACAGATTCATTCCTAACCGAAGTGCTATGAACTTTGAAGCGAACTATTATAAAATGGTTTCAGCTGATCGCGAGAACGAAGAAAACGAGTGCGAAAGTCCTTCGAAAGTCGAGTTCAAGAAGAACATGGCTGAAAACCTGGCTGGAAACGAAGCGAATACCAGGATTCTTGCTTTCAAGAATAAAGCTCCAACACCAAGAGAAGGTACCTTTAAATGAGAATATTTAAAATTCAGTTTATAATAAGCGATCGAGTGTTGAATAAGCTTACCTGGCTTATGCATATGCAAGCTCGTGGATCCTATTGTAAACTAACAAGACTTGCGTATTGTTCGTTTTAACAAGAATTTCACAACCATATCACCGATCCGATGAAGTTTTAAATTTCAAAAGTGTTGTAATGTATTAAGTACTTTTCGATTAGACTATCACTAATCATAAAACGGGTCGATTTGTATTTTAGGCCATTTGAATGATCTTCGAGTCCTGTACAGCCAAAACAAGACTCCAGCAACATCGACGAAGAAAAATGCCAGACATATTCCACAGATCCCCGAAAGGATCCTAGATGCACCTGATCTCATTGACGATTATTGTAAGTTGAGTTCTGTTATCGTTCCTCCTTCTGTTATCGTTCCGAAACGTCGCCACCGGCGAAGAGCGAGGAGAAACGGCTGTTTTCGCAGGCTACTTGTCTCTTTGTCTTGTCTCACTATCATAATTTTGGTTCGGCTTTTTGTTAGCCACAAAATGCATGCGCTTTCACAATTTTCGAAGTACACCCAACTTTATACTGCTGAAGAGAATTGTGATTGATTTACCCACAGAGACAACTCGCTTACATCAAACATTTGTATCGTTGCTGTCATTGCTGATTTTTATTTTTGTTCCTCTGCTTCTAAACTTGGTCAAAATAAAGATTAAGTGCTGTTCACTTTTTACTGATTGCTCACTTGTTCTAAAGTTTATTCAGGTTTATTGTGATTGAATAGATTAGATTACAACATCTGGCAAAAAAAGCGGAAATACGGTTGCTATGAGATATACATGTAAAAACAGCGTTATTTTAATGATAAGATTGCTTAATTTATGACTTTGGAGATTGTGTTACTTTGTCATAAAGTTCTTGTGGAGGTATCTGTTTCTGTTGGGGCATGAACTTGCTAACTCATTTCGCTCATTTCAATACTTTCAGATTTAAACCTACTGGACTGGAGCTGTAACAATCACCTTGCGGTAGCACTGGGTGGCTTTGTATATCTCTGGAACGCTGTGTCAGGTGACATAGTCCAGCTTTGCCAAACTGTGACACCTGAATGTTATATTGGCTCTGTATCTTGGATCAAGGAAGGGAACTACATTGCCTTAGGAGACAGTGATGGGGTGGTTCAGGTTGGTTTCTATATAATAAATATTTCTTAACATTTAAATCATGGATCAAGTTTGCCACAGTCAGGGAAAAATCAAGGGAAAACAATACCAGACCATTTGCAAAACAATAATTTTTAAACGTCAGGGAATATCTTTGATAGTGTCAAAGTCAGTGAAAAGTCACCGTGAGGGAATTCTATTTTCATTGCACACAAATCCGCTGAAAGGTGTAAAGGATTTTAACATGGAGACAGAAATATTGGTGGTCTGTGAAGAGAACTAAGCAAGAGTAAAAAAGGATTTTTGTTTAATTCAAGGCCTGTGAAAATTTGCCCAGAGGTTTGGGAAAGGTAAAGGAATTTTTTAGTTTCTAATGAACGACAACCCTGTGTATGTGCCAAATCATGATGAAATCCAGAAATTCCAAATTTTTATGCACAAAAATACTGGAAAGTACTGCTATAAGCAAAAGACATGCTTATGAGGTTAATAATTCTACAATGCAATGGAGAATGATCCTTGAAGTTGTAACCGCAGTTTATACAATTATTGCATATTAAGAAGCCTGAAAAATCCACGACTTCAACATGTGTGAGGATTCGAACCCATGACCTCATGATACTGGTGCAGCGCTCTAACCGACTAAACTATGAAGCCACTGATGTTGGGAGCTGGTCAATTAAGTGTTCATGAATGTTCCCATGAAAGAGATGAGTTTGAAATGACTCATATATGAGAACTGCAGAAATGAAATCAAATGAAGAATGATCCTCACAGTTGTGAACATAATTTTGTCAATAAAATCAAGTGAAGTAGGCAATTTGAGGCTCTCACTCCCTCGCTTTTCCATTTCCCCCCAAAATAGATGGCACAAAGCTTGAAGTAGCGGGCTTTTTAGGTTGTTGGCACTTATTGAGAACCCAGATTCATTCACTTAAAAGTTAGATTCACCTTGTACAATGTAATCAGAACCACAGGAAACTTAATCAGTAGCTGTCACTGAGTTAAATGTTGAAACCACTGGTTTACTAGCCTGAGTGGCGGCGGAAAAAATTAGTGCTCCCGGCACAAGAATCCACCAGCTATGCAGCTAGGCTACCGGTATACTAAATCCTTGTTGAAATTGACAGCTGTGGGATGTGGAGGCGCAGAAAAAATTAAGAAGCATGGCTGGTCATTCTGCCCGTGTTGGATGCCTCTCTTGGAATTCTTTCATACTCTCAAGGTACGATTCCTGGAATTTGTTAAATTTATTATTTCAGAGGTTTGAGAGGATTTTTGAATGTTGGAACATTCTATTGCAGTTTGACAAAAAAAAAATTATGCTACGGTATTTTACAAGTTGACATTATTTAGACACTTTGGAAAGAGAAATACCATTAAAACAGTATTTTCGTCTGCAGTGCAGGCTAAGTGTTCAGCCTGTTGAATCTGTGTACAGTGCCTTGGGAATGTAGTCTAAACCATTAGCAATGAAAGCTAACAAAATTTTCCTCTCAATTTGTTTTTAGTGGCAGCAGAAGTGGAGCTATTCATCATCACGATGTTCGTGTAGCAGACCATCATGTCGCTACTCTTGCCAGACATTCCCAAGAAGTGTGTGGGCTGAAGTGGTCTCCTGATGGGAAGTACCTCGCTAGTGGTGGTAATGACAACCTGCTACTGATCTGGGATGCCAGTGTGAACACGATAAGCAACAGTAATACACCTCTGTATACATTTAACCAACACCAGGCTGCTGTCAAGGTGGGTAACCTGTGAAACTCTTTTTAAGTACAGTAAAGTTATTTTTATAGTTTACAGAGATGACTTGACTTTCTGAAACTGCCACTCAGTAAGCACCTGTTTACCCTTAGCTTTAGGCCCCAAGCGTGACCAACATCAAGGGAAAAAGGTTATGAGAACTTAATAAATGAAATGATCACCAATAAAAAAGGAAAATGTTTTGATTTTTCATCAAATTCTCTCAACAATATCCTTAAGAAATTGTATGAAGATCACTCTGGAGAATTTTGTTGTGGATGTTGGTGACTGGTTAGCTCAATTGGTTGGGTACAGGGTGCAAAGAAAGTCGTGTCCGATAGCCCGGGGCTAGCGAATTCTGTTCTTAACTTGCCCAAAGGACAAGTGAAGTATTTTGAAGAATTCAACTTACAGAAGAACTGTGAAATCATTTCTGCTCATCAAAAAATTTTAGGGGCTAGTTGAAATGCTGTTTGGGCCAATAAAAGCTAGCTTCAGCTTGCCCAAATGGCAAGCTGTAAAAATGACTTTCTTTGCACCCCGGGGTACCAAACTTTAGAGATGAGGGCCCAAGTTCCATTCTTGGCCAGACAAACATTCATCCTTTCAAATTAATGTGGTGTCTTTCTTTTACACTAGGCTCTTGACTGGTGTCCATTTCAACGAAACGTACTGGCTAGTGGTGGTGGAACGGCTGATCGTCACATAAGGTTCTGGAATGTTGGTGCAGGGAATTGCCTTAACAGTATTGACACTCATTCACAGGTAAAGATACATACTACTAAACATTTGAGTTAAATTTGACGTTGATGGCTCGAAATTTTTCAGCTTTTACTACGTCTTATTAAGATATTTTCTTACACCGTGAAATAATATGAATAGCCTCTAAATCTCAAGGAGTACCAATCCAGTATATGAAAAACAATTTTTGTGTAAGGCCTTTTATGGCTTTGATATACATATTTTTTGACTACCTGAGATGTAGAAAAGCATTCATCTCATGCTAGCTGGTACCTCTCCTCGCCTCCACTTCTCATCATTGCTCATTTTGGGCTCATTAAACTAGCCTGCGAGCAAGCTCTCTGGGGCGCTCTGGCGGCAGGGTGGGAAAAGGAAGGAGAGCTTACAACTACATCTCTAGAATTTGCATTCCACCTCCAATTCCCCTGTGGCTCCCCCTCAACTGAGCTGTCAGATTTCTGCCAATCAGCGTGAAGCGGAAACGAGCGTGAACGTAAAAAAAAATATTGAAAAACATGTGCCTTTGGGTAATGACGTCATTACTAATGTCATCTCTGCCAATCAGCGTTTCGCATTGACTTTTTTGGTGCAGATATTCAAATTCCAGAGATGTAGTTGCAAGCTCCCCTTTCTTTTTCCCTCCCCGCCGCCACAGCCACAGAGAGCTTGCTCACAGGCTATTTTTTAACCTGAATAGTAAACTGTCAATTTCTACCAAGCAAACAGTTGGGGATTCCCAGCATAATACAGTACATGTTTGACTGTACTTAACAATGAATTGCTTCCATTTTTATACTTTTTTTCTTTTATAATTTTTTCTTTCTCATTTATCATGAGTCTTCTTTTGACACCCATAGGTGTGTTCCATTTTGTGGTCAAAAGAATATAAAGAACTAGTCTCAAGTCATGGTTATGCACAAAACCAACTGACAGTTTGGAAGTATCCATCTTTCTCATCATTGCTCATTTTGGGCTCATTAAACTAGCCTGCGAGCAAGCTCTCTGGGGCGCTCTGGCGGCAGGGTGGGAAAAGGAAGGAGAGCTTACAACTACATCTCTAGAATTTGCATTCCACCTTCAATTCCCCTGTGGCTCCCCCTCGATTGAGCTGTCAGATTTCTGCCAATCAGCGTGAAGCGGAAACAAGCGTGAACGTAAAAAAAAAAATTGAAAAACATGTGCCAAGGGTAATGACGTCATTACTAATGTCACCTCTGCCAATCAGCATTTCGCATTGACTTTTTTGGTGCAGATATTCAAATTCCAGAGATGTAGTTGCAAGCTTCCCTTCCTTTTGCCTCCCGGCCGCCACAGCCACAGAGAGCTTGCTCGCAGGCTATTATTAAACCTGAATAGTAAACTGTCAATTTCTACCAAGCAAACAGTTGGGGATTCCCCAGCATAATACAGTACATGTTCAACTGCACTTAACAATGAATTGCTTCCATTTTTATACTTTTTTTTCCTTTTATATTTATTTCTTTCTCATTTATCATGAGTATTCTTCTTTTGACACCCATAGGTGTGTTCCATTTTGTGGTCAAAAGAATATAAAGAACTAGTCTCAAGTCATGGTTATGCACAAAACCAACTGACAGTTTGGAAGTATCCATCGATGGTGAAAGTAACAGAGCTAACTGGACACTCATGCCGCGTCCTTCACATGGCCATGAGCCCAGATGGACAGACAGTTGTTTCAGCTGCGGCAGATGAGACACTCAGACTTTGGAAGTGTTTCGCTACAGATCCTGTTAAAAAGAAAACAAAGCCTAATCCAACAAGTAGCTCATTAGTACATCGAGGAATTCGCTGACAGACATATTAGAAAAGAAACAATAAACAATTGGACCGGAGTATAATTATTATGGAAAAGAAAATCTTATAATATTGTAAATAGGAAGCTGTTTAAGTTACTTCATTAATATTAACTAGGTTTCAATTATTACACATTGTAAATATCTTAATGTAGCAGTTAAACCCAAAATTGGAACTTCACAAACTCACTAGGCTGGTATTTTTATTTTACAGATGTAATTTTACACTCATAAATATCTTACAAACTAAGTCAAAAATAAGAATACAGGAAAGATGATATCAAATTAGAATAATCAGTGAAAAATAACATGTCTTGCAGGGTGCAAAGAAAGTCACTTTTACAGCCTGCCATTCGGCCAAGCTGTAGTTAGCATAAACTAGCCCACAAGTCATTTCAACCAGCCCCAAAACCCTTTTTGATTAGCAGGATTGATTACAAACCTTCTGTAATTTGAATTTCCCCAAAAAACAGCACTTGCCCGTTGGGCAAGTTAAGAACAAAAATCACTAGTCCGATAGCAAAATCCACTAGCCCCGGGCTATTGGATGCAACTTTCTTTGCATGCTGTCTTGGCAAATGTTTCCCTCCTTTCTGTTTTGAATTGACCAGCTAAATGTTTGAACACAGATAAGGTTGGTTTATTAAGGTGAAAATCTCAAATTTGAATGACTAAAGGAAGAGAGGCAATGACTCTTCATCTCCAAGTAGTAGCTACCTAGACTTAATGAACATAGTGAAAAAGAACAATGAAAATAATATTGTCTTTTTCTTACATTTGTCAGGTTTTAGCTTATATTCTTTGGCAAGCATAGCAAAAGATTACACCTGGTGTTTTTAGTTTGTCCAAAGGTCAAGACAAAGAGGTCTTGACATGTAAAAAAAAAGATAAATGCCATGCAACCCTGACTTCCCAAACCTCCTGCTCGTAATTCAAACCTTTGTCTTTTCAAAGCTCTCAGTAACTCAAACCAATAAATTTTTCTCCAAGAGGTTTCCAAAAGTCAGAATTTTACTTATACGTTGCTGCTATTGCACATTCTCTTATAAAACTTCATGCAAAAATCATAAAATGTTTGAGCCTGTGGTAAAAAAAATTTGTCATTTCTGATGACTGTGAACATCTGAAATATTTTAGGAGTGCAGTTTATTTTGTTACGACTTTTTACAGCAAAGATCAGGACACACAAGCAAGTAACAAAACCAATTACCATTGCACAGCTTGTGGTTTAGCTTTCCCATGTCTGATTGTCTCATTCATTAATTTAATATTTCTGGTGTTATAAGTTTGTGAGTGCCAGTAAAAAGTAACCATATCACATTTGTGGGTTTTGCAGCAATTTTAAAATATTTGTAATAAATTAAGAATGTTATAAGATTATTTTGTACAGTATAGTTTTTGTTCACTAGTTTTTCAAACTAGGGAGACATTTGCAATTATTAAGATTTATGAGGAAGATAAGTGTTACTCCAATTAAACTTTATTCCATTGTAACTTGGTTAAGGACTTTTTTTTGCTGAACTTTTCCAGCCAATATCCCATCTTCCAAGATGCAGCAACAGTTCTAGGTTTAACGACTGCAGGGCATGAAATTTTCTTTTTCAGGTGTCACCTTGCTTTAGCTCCTAAAGTGTTTGAAAAAAGGATTCTAGATTTATCAGCTACCAGGTTTTAAACCTCATTATAATTTTAAGAGTCAGATTCTCCAGAATAGTGAGTTATAATTCAAAACAGAGTTCATGTGTCTTAAAGTAGTAAACCCAGTTGATGCTGAAAGCAACCATTTACAACCTAAGACTGCTTTTAGCCCGGAGGGGGATTCCCTTCCAAACAGACAGGGATGATCATCAGAAATATACAATAGACCCTTCCACATTTCTTTTCAACTTTTGATAAAGACCAGAAAATTTACCAGGGTTAGAGATGATATGTCCAGAGCGAGTGAAGATTTTGCTCCTCAAAGGCTAGTAATTTTACAAACGCTTGTATGGGTGCAAAAACTTTCCCACTATCATAACACAAATGTCTGTATAGCCTTCTTGCAAGCTCTCCATTTATGGCAAGCAAAATGAGTCGCAGGAGAACCCATGAGCAAGTGGCAAAGCTGCAAGGGGCGCAGGAAATGAACATTTATGGGAGACCGTTGCATTACTGGGGTTCTAGTATAGAAGGATTATAAATTTCTTGAGTAAAATGATTAATTGGTGGCCAATGCAAGTAATTTTTAGGCCCATTTTTTTGCCCTGCAACTTTTAACAATAATCAAATGCTGTACATCTCTTAAAAGAACATTTTTTAATGATGATGACGATGATGATAATGACATCTCTGAACCTCTCTATCTAAGCCTGCCAACTATGTCACATAAAGCATTTTGAGAGAGTTCTGCACAGATTTCACAAAACGTAAATACCATACAATACAAGTCTGTATATCTTTGTTCCACTTAGTATAAATTGTGTTTGTCCAAATTATTTACAAGATTGCCACATTCCTGCACAGTATACAATGAAACTTGTTATCTTCCATCCAATGATTTATCTCTTATAATAACTGACTCTTCAAACTTTATCATAAGAGTTGTTCCTTTGTGCCAATGAGCTGTGACCTTTGCAGGCTACAACCAAAAAGAAAAATTAATATTATTATTATTAGTAATAAGGAAAATTTATTGTTGTCCGTCAACACCATCCACTGTATCATAATCATTTATCACCTAAAACTTTGTTTTTCAATTTTAGGTTCTTCAAAGGCTTCTTGGCATTAGGGGATTTTTCACAATTTAATGGAGATTTCATCATGATTTTCTTGCACTGGTTATCACATTAGCTCTATACTTTTGCAAGAAAACTAATATAGACATATAATAATATTGCATCTTTACATCACTTAGTTCACACATTTCAGTGCAATAAATTGACACCAACTTTATTTAATAGTGCAACTTTTAAAATATTAAAATATTGTGCCTGAAGTCACAGAACAAATTTGTTACTTAGCAAAAGACCCCATAGTGATTCCAAAATTAGGCTTAGCCTGCAGAAGTAGCTGTTTCTCCTTACTCCTTGCTACTCAGGACGTTTTGCTAGAGAGGATGTTTGAGCCTCAGCAACAAAATTCTATACTGACAACATAAAATCTGTCTGTAATTTGGTTGGGAGCTCTGATTGGTCGACGTAGTAGTCATTTTGTAGCTGTTTTTTTTATGAATGACAGACAAAGACATATGAATGCCAAATAATGTTGCTTTAAGTTCTTATAACAAGCTTCCTGTAAATATTTTCAATGAATAACAATGATAATAATTTATTTGGTGGATCCGATAAAAATTTATTGGTATCCAGCTTTCAAACAACTGGAACATGATATATGTAACTCACTCTAATACTTACAAAGTTGCATCCATGTAACACGGCTTCCACAATTCCAGCAACAAATGAGGCACAGTTTAGACTTCCTTTTCAGGGAGAAAATGGCAAGTTCAATAAAAATTAGAATGTATGCAGTAAAGAAGACATAATATCCTTTTATGATACATTTGAGGGGAAACACATTGGGACAAGCACTGCTTTTTTTTTCCAATAAAGCACTAAATTCAAAACAGTTCCATTAGCATTTTATATTTATTTAATATTATTAACAATATTATAATAAATTATTGTAGAATAAGAATATAATATTTGCAGAAAAAAAGGGAGCTTTGGTCATGGGAGCTGATCAAAATGGTTGGATGTGAGTGTGAATGTGTGCTGTGAAGTTTTCCTATTCCTCTTATTATTTGAATGTCTCAGCATGATTACTTATTTACTGATGTTTTATGTTATCTCAGTCTATTCATTGTATTATAAGTGTCGCCATTGTTAAGAGCTAACTGGGAAAGTCAAATGAGCTTGAATATATAATTATATATTTGTGATGTTTATTGTCTAAGTAGCCACAGTATAATATTATGTAACACCATGAATGCAGTTAATTTGTTTGATGTATACAAACCTTTGTCTTTAGGAACTGAGATAAATTTGTTGACAAGTGGTTCTTTTTCAATAATATAATCTACAACATGTGTCAAGGACTAATTCNCCAAATAATGTTGCTTTAAGTTCTTATAACAAGCTTCCTGTAAATATTTTCAATGAATAACAATGATAATAATTTATTTGGTGGATCCGATAAAAATTTATTGGTATCCAGCTTTCAAACAACTGGAACATGATATATGTAACTCACTCTAATACTTACAAAGTTGCATCCATGTAACACGGCTTCCACAATTCCAGCAACAAATGAGGCACAGTTTAGACTTCCTTTTCAGGGAGAAAATGGCAAGTTCAATAAAAATTAGAATGTATGCAGTAAAGAAGACATAATATCCTTTTATGATACATTTGAGGGGAAACACATTGGGACAAGCACTGCTTTTTTTTTCCAATAAAGCACTAAATTCAAAACAGTTCCATTAGCATTTTATATTTATTTAATATTATTAACAATATTATAATAAATTATTGTAGAATAAGAATATAATATTTGCAGAAAAAAAGGGAGCTTTGGTCATGGGAGCTGATCAAAATGGTTGGATGTGAGTGTGAATGTGTGCTGTGAAGTTTTCCTATTCCTCTTATTATTTGAATGTCTCAGCATGATTACTTATTTACTGATGTTTTATGTTATCTCAGTCTATTCATTGTATTATAAGTGTCGCCATTGTTAAGAGCTAACTGGGAAAGTCAAATGAGCTTGAATATATAATTATATATTTGTGATGTTTATTGTCTAAGTAGCCACAGTATAATATTATGTAACACCATGAATGCAGTTAATTTGTTTGATGTATACAAACCTTTGTCTTTAGGAACTGAGATAAATTTGTTGACAAGTGGTTCTTTTTCAATAATATAATCTACAACATGTGTCAAGGACTAATTCATAAGATACTACTTCAATCTCTAATAATAATTTTTTTATACAGTTGACTCGCAATAACTCGAACCTTCAAGGGAAATTGAAAACAGTTTGAGTTATTGGGAGTTCGAAGCAAATAACCAGAAGTAAGGAAATAGGAAGGGGGAGGAATGCAAGTATCATGTACCCTTCACTACACGGGCAGCAAGAGATAAGATATTGATATTTTGAGCATGATTAATCAGTACAGTGCCAAATATTGTATTTGAATTGAACTGACAAAAAAGTAACGAAACAATACGGTTGTTTTGAGAGAAATTCAGTGTTTTAGACTGCAGTTTACTACATTTTTTCGACTTAAAACATGGTTCGAGTTATGAAGCTTGAGGATAAAATTTATTGTATAAAAAGGATCTGAAGAGAAACAAAAATATTATTTCAAGTTAGTGGGAGGTTTGAGTTATCGAGGGTTTGGGTTACTGAGGGTAAAATTACAGTAAATGTATGAAGGAAATCCAGTGGAAATTGATTTTGTTTCAAGTTAGCATGAAGTTCAAGTTGCAGGCGAGGGTTATAAAATTAATAAAATACCAGTATGTAGAACAAAGGATCAGTCAAGAACTATTAACAACCATCACATGCGGTGATCATTACATGAACAAAATTAATTAACATTGGTTCTAAAATTAAAATTTACATGCCCAGACAAATTTTGTGATGAACTTGTAGTTACCATAAAAGATTTGTAAACCCAGGAGAAGTCTATGTAGCCTCTTTTTAATATATTTTCGTTATCTTTGCCAGGGCTTGCCAGGATGTACAACACTACAAACATCAATACTGAGGATTAATATAAAATTATCAGTCATTGACGTTCTCCACATGACCTGGTGATAAAAGTTGGACAAGAGAGTCTAACGCTATTCCTCAGCTCATTCCTCATTAGGGACCTTAAGCAACGCAACAGTGACTTCAACAAGAACAGCAAAACAGCAACAGGTTTAAACTGGCAAAGCAAACCGCAGAAGGTTTGCGCTCCTAATGAAACATAGGATACAAGTTTTGTCATCATCATTGGCTTGTTCCAGTTTATCAGCCTCTTTCCCAAACAATGACTGCAAGGAAAAACAAAATTTTATAGTAAGTAAATAAACAAAAAAATAGAATAAGAAGAAAGGCCTAGAAAAAATGCTAGCATTGAGGGTGGAAGTGTCAGGACTTTTAAAAGGCAAAGAGGTATAATGAGTTGTTTGATCTGAAGCGAGAATTACTCAACCATTAAATTAGCGGAGCTCCATAAGCAGATCCCCATAGCTAAGACAATTTGGATATCTATCCATCCGTGAAAATATTGGTACGTGCTTGACTATCTGTCGTCCGACCGTCCACTTGCACCTCATCTGTCCACACCATGCCCACAGGATAATTCCAAGTGAATTCCTTTGCAATGCTTACAAGTTTATTGTTTGAAGTAAATAAATTTAGTTATTTATTATTATTATTTTATGGGAAATTAATGGGAGATTCACTTTTAGCCTTGGGTAAATCTAATGATATAATACTGAAGCTATGGTGAGCACTGATATTCAACAAAAAAAGTTTCATGGTTATATGTAACCCTACAGAGATCAATATTGTACAGTAGACGAAAAAATTCAGGAAAGTGAACAGGCTATTTTTTCAAAGAATCTTACCTTCCAAAAAACTGACTTGATAAACAGGAGAATGTTTAGTACTCTCACTTCCCGCTTCATTCCTTTTTCTCGTAATACCAAGACATCAAGCACTCTGGAACCAACCTGCTGGCCAAGATCTGATAACCTGTTAACAAGATAAGATTTCATGTCAGTCTTGCATGCATGCATGCATGCATGCATGCATGCATGCATGCATGCATGCATGCATACATACATACATACATACATACATACATACATACATACATACATACATACATACATACATACATACATACATACATACATACATACATACATACATACATACATACATACATACATACATACATACATACATACATACATACATACATACATACATACATACATACATAGGCCTATAAATATTCTCTACTTATTCAATCAAACACCTCTATTTATCAACGCTTGATCCCCATTCACCTCTAAGGATAACATGTTTAGAAGATTTTTAATTGTAATTTGTTTTCTTTTCAAAGGCTGCTTACTCAGCGTGCAAAGAAAGCAGTGTCCGTTAGCCTGGGGCTAGTGGATTTTGCTATCAGGCTTACTAGTGAATTCTGTTTTTAACTTGCCCAATGGGCAAGTGATGTTTTTCGAGGAATTTGAACAGCAGAAGAACTGTGAAATCAATTCTGCTGGCCAAAATGTTTTTGGGGCTAGTTAATTAATGACGTCTGGGCTAGTTAATGCTAGCTTCAGCTTGCCCGAATGGCAAGCTGTAAAAGTGATTTTCTTTGTACCCTGCTTACTGTACTTTTATTTCTAATGAAAAAGCCTGTGTTCTAGTTTTCTATGGCTGTTTGTCATATTCTAGTTGAACACATTTGGTTGGTGTGACTGGAGAATTGGTCTTGAGGATATCTTCATTCAAGCCTGCTATGTCTTAAAAGGTTTTTATGCCTCTTGTACAGAAATTCCAACCCTGTCAACTAAAAAAAGGGACGTCCCACAATTGCCGAAGGTATGAGCCTCTAGGAGGTCTGGGAGCATGCTCCCCCAGGAAAATTTTAAGATATGTGCCTCTAAGATACCATTTCCTGCATTTTGAGATTACAGTCAAATGGAAATACCAAGGCCACAATTATCACAGGTTCATGTTTGGATGCCAAAATGATAAAAATGGTTGAGAACCCACAGAATTGACTGATGCATTAGATTGGAGATGGTCTTCACTGCGGAGTCAAATAGACCTGGTTTATCTGCTGGATAAACATCCTCTACCTTATTTGGATCTTACAACACTTTTCCAAAAGTTTTTTGAAGTTTTCCCTTTTACACACACACACACACACAAAATTATAAAAATGTCGCCCATTTGATAAATTATTAATAAGACCCCCCTCACTTAGTTGTACCACCACCCCCTCCATCGTTTTCTTCCCTCACCCACCTGACCTCCCATGTCCCTGACTAGAACAAAATAAGGCACAACAAAGTCTTATTTCAATTTCAAGAGAGTAAATGCTTTTATAACTACTTTTACATTTGCAACTCACTTGGTTTGAAGCTCTGGGACCGTGTGAACTCTGTTCTGACAATACTGAATCATCTCAGAAAACAGCAAACCGAAAGTGCTTACATTGATCTAAAACAAAACCCATCGACACACTGTTTGAGGCACTAAGTCATTTCAAATGATCCATACCAACTTTCAACTGAATCAATTACCTCATTTCTTCCTTTGCTAAGTGGTTTTTCGAGGATATTCGTCTGGCGACTTCTCCTGACTGACTCCATTTTGGTTTAGACCTGGCTACTAAGCTGGAAGGCTTGGTCTCTAAGGAAATAAGATGGCGGATGAATTGACCAAGAGGAAACCTAGGAAAACAGTAGTTGATCGCTATTTTACTCGTATCTATAAAACAGGTTAGGCTACATTACTCTTAATAAAGAAGTCCTAAACGTCTATATGTTATTTGGAAAAAGATTTGGCGTTCTTTTGTTGTGATTTAATGTGTGTCTTGTTTTCATGCAATTGCAGACATCAAGGGAAACCTTAGTGAAGATCAGTGTGTTTTACAGCATTCAAACAAGTAAGTATTATAAAGCGATAGCTTTGTGGGTATATTAAATTCATAATTTAAATGACTCCAGTCTATGGGTTCTAATTAGTAGGTTTTGAATTTTCTAGTTTGCTTGTTATGAGGCCCTGCCAGGGGGGTGGTGGTGGTGGGTGGGGAGGTCCATGCCGCTCGATGGAATTTTAAAACGTCTCGTGTCGGTGTTTATAAATGCTGCAAGTTGCTGTCGGAAATTGAACGAAAATTCTTTGTCCTCAAACACCTCGTTCGTGGAGATGTAGCATAAAAGTAAGGGACTGTGCAATAATTATCAGGAGGGGGGGGCTGAAAAACTAGAGGGGGAGCATTACATAAAATTGCTGCCAAGATAGGGGGGGCTCAAAGTAAAATCAGTCATTTGACGCAGGAGGGCCTTAAGTTTTATTCAAAATGTAAATAAAATTAAACTCAATACAGCTTATGATAGACTATAACAAATATCAATACGAACAGCTGTTAAACGATTATTGAAAATATTCCATCAAAATGAAAAGCAAATTCACAACTGATCAATTTTAACCCGTCTTCTAATTAATTGAGCTGATCCTATGTAAAGCAAAAATCATGAACTTGTTTTTCAGCTTCCCCCATAAAACAATGGGAATCAAACAGATCTGGTAGACAAGCTTTGTCAGTTTTTGATGTGAATAAAAGTAATGTTTCTTCATTGACTGAATCGATTTGCTGAATTCCATATATATCTGGCTCATAACAAAGTTCAACAGGTTCTCGTCCCAAGGATCTAAATATAATGCAAGCTCTTTTTCGTCTGTTATTTGAAACGTTCAATTTCCTGTTCTTTGATTTTTTCTCTGCTCTTTTCTCTTTCTGGCTTCAGAAGTTTTAGATTTTGAGCCAATGTGGTAAGCACCCCGGTACTTAGCAAATGCTTTGTCTAAATCTTGGGTGGGTGGTGGGAGGGGGGTGCTACGTTATTTTTAACATAACAGAGGGGGGTTAGAACTAATTTTTTTTGTTTTGGAGGGGGGGGG